AAGATCCATTTGGCTTTTTCATATACATCAAATAAATATATGTAACCTCTACTTTTTTGAAACTGTGGACCAAAGTGACATTTACATTATGTTCATATTTAACCTTTATCACCCACTTTATTTTCTAAGACATTGAATGAGTGTCTATCATACATAACTTTGTTTTACACAATCATTTAATTGAAAATTGGTTAACAAACAGGACCTCTAAACTAAAAACTAAAAAATTCAAACCATTTCCATTAAAATATTACAAAATGTTACAGATCTTATTGATAGCAAAGTCAGTTACAAAATGATACAAACTTAATGTTATGTGAAAAAAGCCTTATACTGGAAGTTAAAGCAACCTTAGCCTTAAACAAAATGATCCCAAGTGCAATCCAATGTTTTTTTTTAAAGCTTGTCTAAAGTTTAAAGAAGTCCATGTCTTGCTCTTTTTATTTATTGGAAATGGTAACCCTTACTACAGGGATGTAAAAACAACTCTACCCTTTATTTTGATATATATCATAAAATACCTTTGCAATTCTGTTGATCAGTCTAAGTGAGACAAAATGGCTCAATGTATGTCAAACAATATGTGTGTCTGTTTTCTGACCATTTCACTGAAACAACAAGAATAAATGAAAGTGAAAAAAAAATTCTTCTTCACTCAATATTGCAATGGCAGGAAAACAAACATGCCTAAGCATAATTCTAAGCAGTTCTAAAATTTTGAATGTTTGACCTACAGATATTTTGACCTTTTGGCTCCATGGATACAAAGTTATATTCCAAGTTAAAAGTTTCACACAACACCAAACTAACTATGAGAGTACTTGTCTTTCCTTAGTATAACAGCTTAAAATGCAGATATCATAAAAATCAGATAGGGGTTTCCAAGGCCTGATCATGAATACAATCACACAAAAAACAGATTGATATTCTTTGGCCTATTCTAAGTTCCTTGCGAACGCCAGTAAGTAAGTAAATAGTATTCTAAGTTCCAATTACTAATATTTCATCAAATGCTTTTATTTTCAGGTTTAAACATCCATTAACAAATGGAATATAATCAAAACTCAAGTTTATTTAATTATAATTACTTTAAAAAAAAGCATTGCTTAGATATTCTTGGGATCCCTTGCAAAAACAGCTAGTGTTTGGTCATCTTGTTCAAATTGTAAATGATATTGTTGGAGCATGCAAGTTAATGATTTATATGGATTATTTATCAGTTTCTATCATAGAAATATTTTAATTACTTCACTGAGGTTACAACAGGTATAAAATGTCAAAGTCATAAACAAGTATTAATCTCATAGATATGTTTCTACATTTCCACAGCTATTTGAGTGCAATCCAGATTGTTAAGTTTTACATTAATCATAAAGTAATTGATAGTGTGATTTTACCATTTTATATCATTTATCATAAAAATGCTACTTAATGGATTAATGCATGATTATAAAAAATAGTTAATTAATTGTTAATTGATCAAATTTACAATTATAATAACCCAAATGAGTCAGTAAATAAACATACCACATTACTAAAAGTCATTAAAGGGAACAGTATATTTACATAAAATGATTTTTTTTTCATCCAAAACATTTATTACCTTAATCATACAATTTAAGAGATGGCACCACTAAAGTACTGATCACCTCTATTTGATGAAAAAAATGCAAAAAAAACAACTGTTCTAAAGCTAAGAATCACAACTTCTAGATCTATTTGTGTAATTGTAAATAGTCCTTTGTTGTATCACAAATTAGCTCTTGGGTTTATGGTATCTTAGGAGAGGATTTTTGAAAATTTCTTTTTCTAAACCTATTTTTGACCCCTGTGACTTATCTAGGCAATGAACTGAAAGTTTTTAACAACTTTGGTAAGGGACCCACCAAGGATCACTTCTAGAATTTAGTAAAAATCTAGTAAGCGGTCCAGAAGATGGTATAGTAAAAATATTGATGCACAACCAACAATTCACAGAATAGCTCACACTGATGAGCCTAAAAAATCTCAAATTTTAAGACTCATTGTTTATACAGATGATATAAACATACAAATACAAAAAAACATTACGAGTAACATTATATAAACACTGCAAGTATAAAACAGAAAACTGTTATTTAAAGAGGGCCAGTATATGAAAAATAAGTTTAAATTAATCATTAAGTGGACAAAATGTAAAACAGTCATTAAGGAGACCAGTATATACTTATACCAAGTTTAGGATAGTCATTATAAAGAAGACAAATATATAAATTCAGTTTCAGTTTCAGTTTATTTCTAGTAATATAGGCCTCAGGCCCAAAATACAAAGTACAACAATACATCAAACAGTAGAGTGATAAATTGCAAATACATTTGTTACTAGATGTAATGAATTGAATTTGTAAATAATTATACAGTATTTATCTCTTCCTTTCTTACATTCATTGCATAATATATATATTTAGCAATAGATATTACTTCATTTATTATTGTTGATGACATGAGAGAATAAAATAAATGGTGGGAATGATGATGTAACCATGTATCTTTAAAATAGACAGCTCTGATATTGTTATATAGTGAACATTCAAAGAAAAAATGATATTCATCCTCAATAACATAAATATTTGTCTTTAGGCAATGAAAGCAATATCTTAAATCTCTATCTATTCCAATATGTCTACCTTTCTCTATCATAAGATTATGATATGAACAGCGAAAATTAGAAAAAGCTCTTCTATACTTATATGCTAAATCTAAACTTAAATATCGTTCAACATTAAGTAAAGTCTTAAAGTACTTGTAATGTAATGCTTTAGGAGAAGAATCAACAGCATTATGCCAGTTTTGTGAATAACAATCAAATAAGCGTTCCTTAAACATATTAATGAAATTTAGGTCATCACCGACATCATGAGAGATCCATACGTATCCAAAACCAAATTGAAAAAGCATATCTTTAGTGTTGCCAGCCCATGTTTTCCGTCCAGATTCGTGTAGTCGTTTTAACATCAAATAACAATGTTTTGGGTACCTATTATCTCCCATATGTGTCAGTTTTAACCAGTATTTAACACAATTTGTCATATAGATAGTACAGAGAGGTAATCTTCCACATTCACCAAGAGCAAAATAGCTTGTTGTATTTTGTGACAAGTTACAATATTGTTTACAGAATTTAACTTGTACAGATTCAATCTTATCAACATAATTATAACCCCAGATTTCTGACGCATAACACAATATAGGTTTTACCATTGAATCAAAAATTTTGAACATATCAATAGGATCAATGTGACCAAATTGTCTTTGAAAATTGAATATACAAGCAGAAGCTTTAATTAAGTCCTTGTAGTGCAAGCATCTCTTGTGTTTTGGACCATACTAACTTTGGTGTGAAAAATACACCTAAATATTTGAAAAATGGTACAACTTCAATAGGTTTATTATTAAACAACCATTTTTCAGTTTGTTTCAAAACACCGCCATTTCTAAAAACAATGATTTTCTTACAATAATCGTCAATATCATCTATTTGCTGCTGTAGATTAACAACGGTGTCAGAAAAGCTAGGCACATACACTGCAGTGCAAACATAAGAGCTATTAACATTTCAATGTCATTGGATACAAAAATACCTCTATTACATTTCTCATAAAGACATGTAACTAAATCATTCATGAAAACTAAAAAAATTATTGGACGTCCAACACAGCCCTGACTTGTTCCAGTATTACATGAGAAGAAGCTTGTTAGTTTGTCATCAACTTTAACACATGATTTAAGTTTTGCATACATAGATTTTATTATTATTAAAAATTTTCCATTGATCTTATTTCTAGAAAAAAGCGTCCCATAATTTTTGATGCTGAATACTGTCAAAAGCTTTTGCAAAATCTATGTATAAACAATAAAATCTACCCCGTTTCTTCGACAGGTACTTCTGGATCAAAGACATTAGAGTAAAAATATTATCAATTGTTGAATAGCCTTTCCTAAATCCAGCTTGAGACTCATCAATTACATTATAGTTATCACACCATTTAGTAAGACGAATAGTTAATATATTAACAAATATTTTACATAGGGAATCTATTAAAGAAATACCTCGATAATTATTTGGATCTGATTTAGAACCTTTCTTATGTATTGGAGTGATAATACTTTGACTCCATTCTTCTGGGAAGTTTCCGTTTTCAAAAATTTCATTAAAAAGAGCATTCAAAAATGGTAAAATTATATGAATAGAATGTTTGTACATTTCTAAGCAGACACCATCAGGTCCAGGCGACCGGTTAGCACGTAAATGGTCTATACTTTGCATTATTTCTAGATCAGATATAGGAACGTTAATTTCGTCACAATTTAAGTAATCACGATTCACATTGACCACGGGCTGCTCATCGATAGAACTATTTTCCCCAGTTACAGGATTCAAGAGTAATTTAAAATAATCATACCATTCATTACATGTTATTAAAGAATCTGCATTTTCTTTACTATTACCTTTTTTAAGAATATTCCAGAATTGTTTTGCATTTTTCCTGGAATCAACCAACAGCTTCCGTTTAGCTTTGCAGTGAAAATACTGTTTATTTTACATAGTGCTTTAAATTTGTTTTTGGACGTTTTATATTTTATTAAATCATCTCTTTCATTGAAACCCGGAACTGTCTAAGAAAACGGGTTTTATCTCTTTTTAGAATTTGACATTGGTTATCCCACCATAAATGTTGAGATGATACGTTTTTGTGATGTTTACATTTCATATCATCTGCAGAAAGTTTTAAGATATCTAAAAAGTCTGGAAGAAACGAGGACAAAGTTCTATTCTGTGAATTAATACGCATTTCATCAAATTGTTGAAACTTAGGCGTAAGATTATTTATAAAATTTTCTTTGAATTCTGGTTTCCACTTATACTTCAGCCATGGTGACATATTCTCACCATTTTCAAAATTATACTGATTTTGACTACCTATAGAAGGGAATGAAAAATGGCAAATAATAGGAAAATGTACAGACTCGTCATTATTATCAACTTTAAAATATGTTACATATTTAAACAAACTAGTAGTAGCTGCCATATAATCTACAACACTGGCTCCATTATTTGCTAAACAAGTATAGTTACCAGGAATATCATCAAAAAATCTTCCATTAAAAACATGTATAACATAATTCAATAAGTGATAATCCAAAACGATTAAACTCTGTATCTTTAGATAATCTATGCATATTAAAATCATCTTCTGGGTATGGTACATCATCACCAAATATAAACAATAGATTATCATCTAACACAAAGTCATTGAAGTTTTTTATACGTGAATTTAAATCTCCCGCCAAAAATAATTCTGCATCGGGATATTTACCTTTAATCTGACTAATACTTGTATTCAAAATTTCAATACCATTATTATCTTCAATCGAATAAATAGACGAGTATTCTGGAGATACATATGTAAATATAAGAATAACATCATTCACATAAATCATAGATTCAGCACTAATTAATAGCACTACACATTCAGTAATATTATCAAATATATGTTTTATAGACCCACGTTTGATCAACCAGTCTTTAACAAAAACCGTCACTCCTCCGGAACCACGTGCAGATGTATTCTTCTTTCTTCTACAAAAGTTAAAGTTTGTATATCCAGGTAAAAAGTTTTCGAATTCATCATTTGAAACACCCCAAGTTTCACAGAAACTTAATATATCAAAGCGTGAACAGTATGACTGAAAGCTAATATCATTATAATATTTTTTTAATCCTTCAATATTCCAGGAACACATCTTTAAATCAATATTAATAGAATAGTCATTTTCATTGCGGAAGTGATGCCCAAAGTTTGTTTCATGGAGAATAACATTAGAGTTTTGAAAAGACTGAAGACAGTTGTCAGTAAACATACCAAGTAAGAGTCATTGTTGGGACCAGTATATAAACACACCAAGTTAAACATGGTGCAAAATGACAAAGAATCCAATGATAATAGCCTGGCCAAATATAGAGATAAACTAACAGATAAAAAGGACACTAAGTTGCCAGCTTGACTTGTAACAAATGAGCAAAACATAAAAGTTACCTTTTAAGGATTCAGATTTTCTTTTGCATGAGCTTTCATTGATGTTACTTGATGCTCAGCCTTGTCATAGTGTTCAGCAACTTCCCTACCCTCGACATGGTGCTCAGCAACTTCCTCAGCCACATTAAGGTGTTCCGCAACTTCCTTAACCTCAACATGGCGTTCAGCAACTTCTGCAGTTATTCAAAACTTTTTGTTTAAAAAAAAGTAACAGGAATTGGCTTTTTTATACAGCAAATTTTACAAATATTACCATGGCAAATAGACAGTATTATGGAGAAACTTCCATTTTTTACCAGAAATAATTCATTAATAAAAAAAACACAAAGTGCACCTCTATCAAAATTTTAATCAAGCAAACAAGAGGTTAAAACTATATTCAAACTTCTTACCACCATTTCCTGCCTTTTAATATGTAAAAAATTGTTTTCTGCATGGCATTTTTTCATTCTATTTGTTGTTTCCTCCTCTGTTATTTTCTCACCAAAGTACTGTAGAATAAAGTCTCCTGCCCTAAAAGGCTCTGTAGTGAAAACACCATACCCTACAAAATAAATATGTCTTTTTTGGCATGCAAATACAAGTTGTGCACCAGTAAGTTACAATGCTCCCCAACCACCAGGCAAGGGCATGGATTATGTTTCTTGACTTTCCTAACCATGGTTAAAACTTGTGTACCCTGTATATTAATTTTCATTTCCTAAAAATTTGCTTAAAACTTTATTTATATTATGGTTCCCTTAAAATCTTAAAATTGAAATTTTGTATATTTATTGTCTGGTCCCCTTAAAGTATGATTGAAATTTTATATTTATAGTCTGGTCCCCTTAAAGTATGTTTGAAATTGTGTATATCTATAGTCTGGTTCTTGAAATTTTGTATACTTATAGTCTGGTCCCCTTAAAGTCTGTTTGAAACTTTGTATATCTATAGTCTGGTCGCTTCAAATTTTGTATATCTTGAAAAAACGAGAGGGACATGATGGTCCTAAAATCGCTCACCTGCATATAGGCCCCTGGGCCAAGGCCAATTTTAAACCAGGGGCTTTTATTTGAACAAACATGGTAGACACCCATTAGAAGATGTTTCATGATAAATATCTAAGCTCTAGCTCTCTGGGGGTTTTATGAGAAGATTTTTTAAGATGTTACTATATAAATATAAGGAAAAACAATGACCGTCCCTCGGAGGGGCCATTTTTTACCCCAAGGCTTTTATTTGAACAAACTTTGTAGACACCCATTAGAAGATGTTTCATGCTAAATATCTTAGCTCTAGCTCTTTGAGGTTTTTAAAAGAAGATATTTTAAGTTTTTACTATATACATAAAGGGAAAAACAATGACCCCCTGGGGCAGGGTCAAATTTTACCTCAGGGCTTTTATTTGAACAAACTTGGTAGACACCCACTAGAAGATGTTTCATGCTTAATATCTAAGCTGTAGCTATTTTGTTTTTCTAAAAGAGGATTTTTAAATTTTTACTATTTATAAATAAGGAAATTCAATGACCACCTGGGACGGGGCCGATTTTTACCCAAAGGCTTTTATTTTAACAAACTTGGTACACGCCCACTAGAGGATGTTTCTTGGTTAATAGCTAAGCTCTAGCTATTTGGATTTTTTTAAAAGAAGATTTTTTTTAATTTTTACTTTATACAAATAAGGAAAATCAATGACCCCCTGGGGCGGGGCCAATTTTGACCCCAGGGCATTTATTTGAACAAACTTGGTAGACACTGACTAGATGATATTTCATGTCAAATATTTAAGCTCTAGCTCTTTTGATTTTCTAAAAGAAGATATTATAATTTTTTTCTTTCGGTTGCCATGGCAACCAGAGTTCTGCTTGGAATTAAATTCTTTGAACAATTTTTAAAGTTGACTACCAAAGGAACATTCCTGAAATTGGCGTAGCGTTTTATGAGAAAATAAGTAAAAGTTTACGGCCGGACGCCAGATGAAAAGCGAACACAAAGAAAATATGTTTAAATGATTAATTATTTGATAACAGTTATGGGACCACAGCATATGAATTATTTCACAAAGCCCATATGGCTGAATGATTAAATGAATATATACATCCAAAAGGAAATTGTGAAAAAATTTCAATCATGAAACAAGCTTTATTGCAGTTTCATCAACTTGTTAGGAATTTCCTTAGCCTTGACATGATGTTCAGCAACTTCTGCAGTCATTCAAGTCTTTTTGTTTAAAAAAAAGTAACAGAAATTGTTTTTTTTTTTTTTGGTACAGCAAATTTTACAACTATTACCATGGCAAATGGACAGTGTTTTATTATGGAGAAACTTCCAATTTTTTTACCAGAAATAATTCATTAATGTAAAAGCACAAGACCATCATTCTCTATCAAAATTTTTTAAAAGTTTAAACTATATTCAAACTTCTTACCACCATTTCCTGCCTTTGAATATGTAAAAAAATGTTTTCTGCAAGGCATTTTTTCATTCTATTTGTTGTTTCCTCCTCTGTTATTTTCTATGTATAAAATAAATTTTCAAGGAATATCTGTGACTATTGTTCAATCCTCTCGCAGTTAAATATTTGTCTGAAAAAAAGTTTCCAACAAGAAATGCGTGAACTACATTTTTGCAACTAAAATGCGCTTGAACAAGATATTTTCGTGTATTAAAATTTATTTGGAATATGCAAATTTAAACATTTACACAGTATTGGCAGATACATATTTTGCCTTGTTTGGTAAAATTTTAAACCACTTACAAAATGCGAAAAATGAAAAAAAAACCCCCTTTCCCAAAAAAAAAATTTTAAAAAATTTTTTTTTAAAAATTTTGTCATATCAGAAGCCCCCCTTTTTGGGGGGTTTTTTTTCCCCCCTTTTTTAATTTTTTAAAAATTTTTTAAAAAAAAATTTTGGAAATTTTTGGAAATTTTTTTTCAACCCTTTTTGCTTTAAAAAGGGGGAAAAAAAAAATTTTTTAAAAAAAAAAAAAAATTTTTAAAAACCCCCTTTTTTCTATTTTTTCCCCTTTTTTTTTAAAAAAAAAAAAAAAAAAAATTTTCCCAAAAATTTTTTTTTTTTTCCTTTTAAAAAATTTTTTAAAAAAAAAATTTTTTCCCCCAAAAAAAAAAAAAAACCCTTTTTTTTAAAATTTTTTTCAAAATTTTTTTTTTTGGGAAAAAAGGTTTTTTTTTTTTTTTCCCCCCCCCCCCCAAAAAAAAAAAAAAAAAAAGAAAAATTTTTAAAAAAAAAAATTTTTTTTTTTTTTTTTGGTTTTAAAAAAAAATTTTTTTAAATTTTTTTTTTTTTAAAAAAAAATTTTTTTTTAAAAAAAAAATTTTTTTTTAAAAAAAAAAATTGGGCCCAAAAAATTTTTAAAATTTGGTTTAAAAATTTTTTCCCCCCAAAAAAAAAAAAAAAAAAAATTTTTTTAAAAAAATTTTTTTCCCAAAAAAAAAAATTTTTTTTAAAAATTTCCCGAAAAAAACCCCCCCCAAAAAATTTTTCCCCCCAAAAATTTTTTTTTAAAATTTTTTTTTCCCCTTTTTTTTTTTTCCCCCCTTTTTTAAATTTTTTTTTTTTTAAAATTTTTTTTTTTTTCCCCCCTTTTTTTTTTTGGGGGGGGGTTTTTTTTTAAATTTTTAAAAATTTTTAAAAATTTAAAAACCCGGGGGTTTTTTTAAAACCCCTTTTTTTTTTTGGGGGGATTAAAGAGGAATTGTTTCAACAGAACCTTTACCCCCCCCCCCCCCCCCCCTTATTTTTATCTAAGAAGACATATTTACGAGATTGTTATGGTAAAATATGTCACAACTAGTTATCGTATTTTAAAAGTGCTGCTTCATTTAATTCTAACTGATTATATGAATATAATTTTATGAACTTGAATATAAAGATATATTAAATAATAATAATAATATCTTAACACAGCAATGTGTATGAATGTGTTCAAAATCTGTATATATTTAGGTTCGAGTGGGAGCATCTCTGAAATCGAGTCCGAGTGGCAGCATTTTTATAAAAAAATTAAAAAAACAACTGACTTTTGAATATAAATGTTCGAAACCAATCTAGAACAAGAGGGCCATGATGGCCCTTAAGTCGCTCACCTGCATATACGGCCTCGCCCCCCCCCACCCCTTGGCAGGGCCAATTTTAACCCAAGGGCTTTTATTTTTAACAAACTTGGTAGACACCCATAAGAAGATGTTTCATGCTAAACATCTAAGCTCTAGCTCATTGGGGGTTTTCTATACACATTGCCAAACCCCAGGGCTTTCAGAACAAACTTTGTTTTTAAAGTTTTTAACCCAACTATTTACACATATAGTTAATAAATGACACCCCATATAGTTAATAAATGACACCCCTGGGGGGGGCCAATTTTGACCCCAGGGCTTTCATTTGAACAAAACTTTGTAGACACTTACTAGAAGATGTTTCATGCTTAATATCTAAACTCTAGCTATTTGGGTTTTATCAAAGATGATTTTTAAGTGTTTGCTATACAGATGTAAGGAAAATCAATGACCCCCCGGGGCGGGGCCAATTTTGACCCCAGGGCTTTTATCTGAAACAAACTTGGTAAGACACTCACTGGAAGATGTTTCATACTAAATATCTTAGCTCTCGCTCTTTGAGTTCTTTAAAAGAAGATTTTTTTAAGTTTTTACTATATGCATATAGGAAAATCAATGAACCCCTGGGGCGGGGCCAATTTTGACCCCGGGGCTTTTATTTGAACAAACTTGGTAGACACTCGTTAGAAGATGTTCATGCTAAATATCTTAGCTCTAGCTCTTTGGGTTCTTTATAAGAAGATTTTTTAGGTTTTTACTATATGCATATAGGGAAAATCAATGATCCCCTGGGGCGGGGCCAATTTTGACCCCTGGGCTTTAATTTGTTCAAACTTAGTAGACACTCATTAGAACATGTTTCATGCTAAATATCTTAGCTCTAGCTCTTTGGGTTCTTTAAAAGAAGATATTTTAAGTTTTTACTATATGCATATAGGGAACATCAAAGACCCCCTGGGGCGGGGCCAATTTTGACACCAGGGATTTTATTTGAACAAACTTGGTAGACACTCACCAGAAGATGTTTTATGCCAAATATCTAAGCTCTAGCTCTTACGGTTTTTTAAAGAAAATATTTAAAGTTTTTTTTTCTTTCGGTTGCCATGGCAACCAGAGTTCTGCATGGAATTAAATTCTTTGAACAATTTTTAAAGGTTACCACCAAAGGAACATTCCTGTGAAGTTTGGATGAAATTGGCTTAGTGGTTTATGAGGAGATGTCATTTAAAGTAAAAGTATACGGACGGACGGACGCCGGACGAAAAGCGATCACAAAAGCTCACCCTGTCACTTTGTGACAGGTGAGCTAAAAATGTGTAAACATGCCTCGGTTTATGTTCCGGTACGTTAAGAATGATTTTAGCCTTGTTTCTTATATCTTACGGAAAAGTCCGAGTGGGAGCATTCAGAGAAAACACTTATCCCGTTTTCAGGCCTAAACCAGGCAATTAACTTTATTTACAATTATCTGAAGTACTATAGCCATTCTTTGGTGCGCTTATATGATTTTTTGATACTCTTACGTTTTCTTATAATTAAATTGTTTTTAACCTTCGAGTCGACGGATTTTCTGCAAAAAAAGGTCCAAGTGGGGGCATTTAGCAGTTGCCAGATGTCGTAGTATCCTTCCATGGAAATATCTATTTTGGATTGCC